ATGCCATGCCATGCCATGCCATGCCATGCCATTCCTATTCTAAAGCACTGTAAAGCAGTACATAAGTCTAAGTGCTATTGCTAGGACAGTGGCTCTCCAATTTTGGGGGCACCAGGGACCTGTTCTGTGGGGAGGTTTTTCCACAGACTGGAGGGGGGTGGAGTTTTAGGTGCAGCTTGCATCCTGCGGATGGGGCATCACTTGTTTCCATGGCCCGGTTTCTGGCTTTGCCGTGGCCCGATGCCAGTCCATGGACCAGGGGTTGAAGACACCCTGGTCTAGGATATACTATTAAGTAGAGGAAATACCTCTGGAAGCTCAGTCTGCAGTATAGCAAAAGAGAGAATCTGCAAATATATAACTCAAAGGTTCCCAATGCTTGTTATTTCAAAAACTAGCTTGTTTACCTGTGTCACTGGTAAAAACATGTACATCCAAAGGTTTGGGTATAGTTTCTTGGTCTTGATAATAGCTGTAATTCACGTTCACGGACCTAGAAGAGAAAACAGGAGTTCCTACGTCTTTATCTTGAAGAGCTACCTTACGGAAATCCATAATCGATGTGAAAGGAATCAACAGGATTCTCCAACAAATCAAACACTTGTCATTTTAAAAGATTATTTCTTCAATTCAGTCCAGCTAATTGATTTTGGAAGGAGAAGCATATCGTTCCCAACGGCTCAAGGGATTTGCAGAGATGAGATTACTTAACAACAGGCGAACTATTTATTGACGCAGATTAGCTATGCAGGATTATAATGATACAGCTATTAGCGATTGAAATGCTTACACAGAATTTTAATTATTTGTATTTGTGAATATATGCTATGTAGGTTTAGTTTGCCTTCTTCTTAATTTCTTTTAGAGGGTTGTGATTAAAAAAAATATGCTTTTTTTTTTCAATTTTAAAAAATTGTATTTACTTTATCCTATTCATAGAAGCAAGCACACACACACACTAGCTGGATACCAGTGCTTTACTATTAAACTATATGATCGGGCTTAGTTTTGGGAAGGAAAATAAGGGGGAGGGATTCTGCCTCTGCCTACCAGCATCCATCGGTATTCATCTGGCTAGCGTCCTGTCAGTGTGTGAGAGTTGAGGGCTGTTTGGAAAGTGAAACAGTATTTGCTGTGAGAGCAAGGAGCCTGGGCGTGGCTTAGCTCAACTGTTCTGTACTAAAGCTGCTTGCTGCTGTGAAACTAAAACTGAAACTCCTCTCCTCTGCTTGTGTTTTGTCCTTGGAACAGATTTCTTTTCAGGTGGGGAGAGGGAATAGATCTCCTTAGCATCAGAGCATGTTAATAATAATAATATATGAAATACTAATGTTCTGGTGATCATTTTGAAAAGTCCTTTCTTAGTGAGCACCTAGAAGCCAAGAGGAACATACGTGCCAAATTTCAAGTTTGTAGGCTTTAAGGTTCTGGAGATTTTGTGATGATGCCTGAGTGGTATTTTGCTTTGTGTGTGTGTGTATGTGTGTGTGTGTGTGTATACACAATATAATATATATTTGAAACTCACCTTAATCTTATGTCAGCCATGGAGATCTCTAAAGGTACTTCAAGCTGTTTAAAAATGAAAAGGCAGCTTTGGTTATCCCAGTAGAGAGCATTAGAAAGCAACAGTATTTCAAACGTAATTGCGAAAAATAATTGTGTCTGTCTGTCTGTCTGTCTATCTATCTATCTATCTATCTATCTATCTATCTATCTATCTATCT